TGTTCATAGTCATTGCACAAGTGGTGATTCTGCAAGGACAGATACAGCTGCCATTAGTGATCCTAATCAGAATATGAGTTGGCACTTGAGAGCTCAACATGCGCACCCTTCTGCCCACGACCACAACATCATCAACTGATTTCCGTAATTGGACGTGGTTTGCATCCTTGGGACCCTGCTTTCTCTGGAGGTCTCTCGGTACCCACAGTCTGAACTCCTCAACTTCACCCAGCTTTGTCCCCGCCGTTCGTCTTCTCCAGACCTTGGCCCGTCAGCTAGCCTGTCAGCATCATGAAGAAAACAAGTCCTAAGAACTGCAAACCCCATCATCTTTCTATACCAGTGATGGCAAAACTCTTGAGCTCGGCGTGTCAGCATTTTGAAAAACCCTAACTTAACTCTGGTGCCGTGTCACATATAGAAATTTTTTTATCTTTGCAACCACAGTAAAAACAAAGATTTATATTTTTGATATTTATTTTATATATTTAATTGCCATTTAACAAAGAAAAATCAACCAAAAAAATGAGTTCGCATGTCACCTCTGACACGCGTGTCATAGGGTCGCCATCACTGTTCTATACAATCAGTTCCACCTTCTCTTTCCTCTGGTGTCTGAAATGCTACTACTGCCTACGATCCTCACCTTGAAATTGTATTGAACGCTCTCCCCGCCACGCCTCCTCAGTGCCCCACTACTCAGCACCCCCACCCTCACCATGCAATTGGTCACCAGTTGTTTTCTATCCCTCATCCTGAGTATGTCTCTCTTCCTCTCTCTCTCTCTCTGATTGATGCTTTAGTTTTGGGTCTCATTTCTACCTATCTATTATATCCACTACTGGGAAATTTTAAGTGTGCTACTAGGCTCTGAGACTTCATAAAGGAAAGAAACTTAGCATTTCCAAACCCGGGACTCACGGTGGCTATTGCCTACAGCCCCTTGCACGCCTGGTGGAGGAAGGGCTCTGGGTCAGCTCCCAAGCTGGGCGCCTGCAGCTCTTCACACTCTGTTCTTCCGGGACAGCTCCCCGCGCGCACCTCCTGCCTATTTATTATCAAAAGATTACGACCTAACATTATGAAAGCTGATGCCCTGGGCTGCCTTCCGCCTCACAGCGCACAAGCTCCTCCCGGCCTGGAATGAAGCACTTGGCAACCCCATTGCCACTGAGGGGCGGACATTTCCTATGAGCTGAAAGGAGCTTATACTGAGCCAGTTGCCATAAAAGTGCCCAAAGGCCGCACCACCTGAGGGCGCTGTCGAGTGAAACAGGACAGAACCCCAGTGAGTTCCCTTCCCGGAGCCATGCCATGCTGGCCACGAGCTAGGAAGCTTCTTACATTCCCACAACTTTAGAGTTAGAACAACCCCAATTGGCCTGCACGCCCAGCACTGCAGGGGTCCTCCTGCCCAGGCAGGACCCAGGGTTTTAGGGAGACCCGCCTGAGTGCAAGGACAGGCAGGAGGACGTGAACCCCAGGCCTCTGAGTCAAGACCCAAACAGGTAACCACAAACCTCTTCTTGCATAAAAGACACTTGTACTTATTTCTGTGCCCAATGAAAACAAAACAAATGCCCACCAAGCAAGGACCATGCACTCAGCCCCAGTGTCACTGCCCGCAACGAGCAGGGAATCTAGCTTTATATACAGAGAAACACAGAATTCATGTGGTCGCCAGAAGGAAGAGTGTCTTATTAAACAGGCCAGTAAACCTGGGCACCATAAACATATAGCAAAGCCTGTGAGCAGCTGCGGGCTCAGATAATAATCGTTAATGTTTACTGCACCTCCGCTCCGTCGGTGCCAGGCGCTGGGCAAACACTGCATGCACCATGCAGTTCCAACTCCTAACGCCCCCGAGGCGGGTTCTGCTATCACTCATTTCGCAGATGAGAGAGCAAAAGCAGACGAGGACCATTGCTCCTGACGACCCAGCTGACCACCACGGGGCCGGGGTTGCCACCAGGAAGGCTGGCTCAGAACATGACCCTTGCTCTTTCCCCTCCCAGCCCTGGCTCTTCCTCTCTCAGCCACAGTCTGTTTGGATTCGTCTCCTGTGGCTGCCTAGGAAATGACCAAGAACTGAGTGACTTGCGATGACATGTGCATCATCTCACATGTGCAGAGCCCAGAAGTCCAGAATCCCTTTCACTGGACTAAAACCCAGGCTGCGGGGGTGAGGTTCTGTCCGGAGGCTCTGGGAGAGTCTGTCCCTGGCCTGCTGTCTGGAGGCGGCTCACAGTCCTTGGCTTGCGGTTGTGCCACTGGGCTCTGCCTTCCTGTCCTTTCCTCCTCTCACCAGTACCCACCTGGGTAACCTCGCGTCACCTCCGAGTTCAAGATGCTCAAGTGCTCACATTGGCGAAGCCCCTCCGCCCAGGGAGGTAAAGCACTCGCAGGGTTGGGAGGAGCATCTGTGGGAGCCGGGGCTCAGCTGCCCACATGGCTGGCGCTCACCTCCCCGTGGTAGTGGCCACGCCCAGGGCACGCCCCCAGAGAGTGTGGCCAGAGCTGGTTGCTTGTTCTTGGTGACAGGAATGGACAGGAGCTCTGTCCCACTGACTCACAGGAAACATAGGACCTCCACAGCCTGCAGCCCACAGGCAGGAGTGGGAGGCGGCCTCCCTCGGAGTGAGCCTGCAGGGGCCCTCGCCAGCCCCGCCCAAATGGAAACCACTGATTAACTACAGTTAACTACATTCTCCTCTGTCATATTTGGGTTAATTTTTCTTTAACCAGAATTTTAAAAGCATGATTTACTCAATACAAAATAATGAGGGAAAAAGCCAGAATCAATTAAGAAGCTGAATCATGACATGTTTTATAGGGGAGACCCATACCCCGCAACAGAAACTACTGAGCCTTTCTGAAGTGTGGCCACCTTGAAAATTTGTAACATAAATGATTATCCTGGCCATATTACATCTTGAAATTCTCTAATTCTATGCACATGAGGCTTCAAATGATTTTATTATAAAGCATGTAAGCTTAGAGGCAAAAATGAAGAAAAATAAATGCCCAAACACCCACTACCCAACTTTTACAAATCACTTTCACTTAAAAAAAAATTTAAATTCTTTATTGTCTAAGACTTATTATGTAAGTCTCATTCCCCCCTCATTGTCCCCTCCTTGCCGCTCCCACCCCCAGCATATACCCTCTCCCCGCTCCTGTCTGTGTCCATTGGTTATGCTGATATGCATGCAAGACCTTTGGCTGATCTCTTACCCCTTCCCTCTTAGGTTGGACAGTCTGAGCGATGCTTCTATGTGTCTGGCTCTATTTTTATTCATCAATTTATGTTGTTCATTATATTCCACATATGAGTGAGATCATCTGATATTTATCTTTTTCTGAGTGGCTTATTTCACTTAGCATTATACTCTCCAGGTCCCTCCATGCTGTCTCAAAGGGTAAGCGATCCTTCTTTTTCACAGCTGCACAGTATTCCATCGTGTAGATGTACCACAGCTTTTTTGTCCATTCATCTGCTGATA